TCTGTCTGAGGCATTCCGGCAGGGTCGGTGGGGACAGGAATTCATGCGTAAGTACTTTATCCCCTGTGTGTTGGAGTGAGTGACCCCCAAACATGTTATTGAGGGAAAGTAACCTTTAATGGGGAGTTAGAAAGGACTTCAGGCCTGCTGGGAGAGAGAGAGATATTAGCTGGGATCGCAACTGAATTAATGCAGCTACATGGCTTGTGGCATCGTTAAGGATGGGCAGAACTAATTTGTGTTTTCCTGGAAAAGACTAGTGATACATTTAATTTCATGCCGCTTTTGGCATGCTGACAGCCACATTGTTTCCTCCTCTTTTCCTGGGGAAAAGGTTAAGCATGGATTTGGTTTTCTTTGGTGTAGAGGCTGCTGTTGCTATTGATTGACCTGGCTGAACTCGGAGCAAGAGCCAAAGCTGTGGTATTTCCAGGCAGCTGCGAACATTTTCAGATGTAAGGAGTGTAAAAGCAGTGGAATAAAAAGCAGTGACATTTTCAATACGAGACCAAAAAAACCCAACTCATATTTTATTTATTTATCCAAAATAGTTTGAATTATTCATTAAAGTCGATATAAGTGTGTGAAAATACAAGGTGTTTCAAGAAGCAGCATCATTAGGAGGAAGTTAATCATTTGGCAATATTAATTTTGTAACAGATTAATGATTTTTTTTTTCAGCGAGGACTTTTTTTCCCCATCAAACTCTTCAGGACAGGCAACATTTTATATATACTCTTGGCCTGAACACAAAGGAGATGAGGCAGTATGATTTCCAAATATTTTCATTTTCTCTTTGTTGTCCTCCTTTATTTTTTTTTATCCCAGGCAAAGTAAACAGCCAGTCATTATCCCCGACCAAGGCATAGCCTACCAAATCTCACGCTTATTTTCTCAGTTCTTATTTGTTTCGTTAATGCTTTGGTGAGGGATGCTTTGGCGTCCGTTCACTGGGGTGAGGGATGTTTGTGGTGCGGCTTTCCCCATCCATGGCTTCTGCAGAGCCCACCTGCAGCTTTTGCCCGTGTTGTGCAAGTGTGACAGAGTCGAACATAAGACCTCACAAGAGTGCTCTAAATGCAGGGATTCTCATTTTCAAGCACTGTCTTTTAAAGAGATAATTAAACCTAATTCTCCAAATGTTGTGAAAGATCTTAAAGGATCAAGACGCTCAATGTTCTGTAGGTGGTAGATAAAACGGGTGGAAACAGTAATGGTGTCATCAGAAACCTGCTCTGTTAATGCGCCCCAACCTGTCCCGAAAGGATCTCCCTCTGTTCAGTGGCCTCTGTGGCTGGGCCTTAAACGTTGCTCTGAAATACGCTGAATTGCAGACTGTGCAGGTGATGACTTTTGAATCAATTTTTCCTGACTGTGCTAGAAATTTGGCGGGAATTAGTGGTATTAGGTGAGGCTTAAGAATTAGCACTGTCACATCTTTGAATTCAGGCACGGAGCAAACAATGAGCTGCCTCTTAGCTGAACATCTTCGCTTGGTGGGGAAATATTAGACAGCTTAATTGCTGTCCCCGAGTCAGCGCACATGCTGCTTGTGCTGTTCTTTGGGTGCAGGGAATCTGCAGCTCCAAGGCAGAGCCGTGGCACGGAGAGGCTTCGTAGGTACCCAGTGCCTACAAATGGGCATCCTGTGCCATTTTAGACACCCCAAAGTGTCCGAGACGTTGGCCTGGGGCTGGCTGCTGTGACACAGAACCTGCAGGAAATATCTTTCCTGCAGAAGCATAGTGGGAAGCTGTGAAAAATATTGTAGGGCATCTCAAATGGCTTTGTTTCAGCAGTGGGATCCCATCCGACATTTCTGAAGTCTCAGGCCGCCTTCCTATCAAGTTACTGTTCTGTGAATCCTCCTCACTATGTGGCTGCTTGGTTGTGTCGGCAGAGTCCGCAGCAGAAAGCAGGGGAGCAGTCACAGTCCTGAGTTGATCTGGGAGTAGCCCCTAGTTGTTCCTGCATGATAAATGCTGCAGGAGGCAGGCACCAGCAGCTGCCGTAGCTGAACTATTGAGGACCGCAATTCAATTAGGTGTAAAGGAAGAGCAATCTCTGTTTTACAGTCAGAGTTCAACGGACCTTTTGCTGAGGGCAGCTGCAAACTTCAGCATTCCTATCAAGTCCCTATAGCGGCTTGTGGTTTTTTCTGCCCCAGCCCCAAGCTGTGCCACGAAAGAAACTCTGTTGGGCAGCTGCTGATGGAGCCAGGGAGAGGGTGGTGAGGATTTATCCCATCCCTGGCCGGTGCTGCCATATTTGGCTGCATCTGCATTAGCAGTTACCAAGTTCAGCACCTTGTGCCAGTGGCTGACACAAGGCATCTCTAACAGAGAGATAACTTTTTTTCCTGCAGATGAATTTCTCCAGCCAAGACAGCTGACTCGGTGATACACCAAAACTGCCGCAGGCACTGGAAAAAGGGCCAGGAGGAACGGCAGGGGCACGCTGACAGGAGTGGAGGCTTGCTAGTTCTTCAGTTAAATTGAAAAGCTCAGGTTTTCTTGCATGAAAGACTGAACTGATTGTAGTCAGTTTTTCCTTTTTCACCCTGAGGGTAGTGGAGGAAAGCAGTTGCCATCGCTTAGTTACTTTTCTAGATTCATGTGGTTGTAGCCTAACTAGGCCAGTGTTGTTGGGTGGGTGCTAAGGCTGCAACCCAACGGGTGCAAGGATGCTCATGATGGCCATTAGCAGCACCAAGTCTGAGAGACAAAACAGGGGAAAAGGTGCTAAGTCTTCATGAATAACAAAAGCTGTTCTAGGAGTTCATGAATTAGGGTGCCATCCACCTCCAAGGTTACAGAAGTCAGGAAAGCCAGCCTCTGAGCATTTATTAGGGAAAAAAATGTCGCTGTTGGGCATGTGCGATATATTAAGGCAGTGCTGTTTCTGACAGTGGCAAAATGTTATTTACCACTGCAATGTGGTCACTGAATTTTTACTTTATATATAGGATTTTGTGCTTAACAGTTGCATAGCTAAACGAAGGCTGTGAGAATATTGAGGTCAGAGCTGCCAATTAACCTCCTGATTTCAGAGGCTGATTACTCAATTAATCAAAGACTGGACCCAGCTGAGATGATTGGGAAAAGGTTGTAACAATCCAAGGAAGGGTTGAGTTAATCACGCAGTGGTGAGTTTAGTAGGAATGGGAAGGTGGGTGGTCAGGACAGACACAGCATTTTCAAGCTCTTGAGAAGGGGCAGCATGTAACCCACCACCCTTCCTTCAGCCTTGTACGCAGGGTTTGGAATACTCTGTTTACCTTGCATCCCCCAGCAATTGGGGGATTCACTGTAGAACAGCGTTTAAATGAACAAACTGCTATGTGATGTTCCCCAAAACTGCCTTGCTCCCCTCGATGAAGCAAGATAGAGCTGGGTGAGACCTGGAGTAAAGGAAATCCTTTGCTCATACATCATCTCCACAAGCCACTGAGGAAGGTGGAGCTGAATTATCCGCAGGTAAGGAGTTGGCCAGCATTAACTCTGCCTGCATGGATGCTCTCACTCAGAAGTAAAGGGGCACGTGGTTCTCTTTAACCATTAAAGAGTTCCTGTCCTTGCCTGGGGATTAAGCTGAATTGGATTAAGGCCAAAGTACTTCAGAGCAGGGGCATCCTCAGTGGCATTTAAGACACTTTAACTTAACACATTGAATTATCCATTTGTCCCACCCGGAGTGCCTAACTAAAGCAGTACAGAAGGTAAGAGGAGACGCACTTTCTCCTGGTGCACTTGCAGCTGCTCAGAGATGAATCACGGGCAAGTCCATGGTCTTGCAGTCACCACCCTGCTTTCTTCCTGCACTACGCCTGGGAGGTTGGAGGAAACACTTTTTGACAAATACTTCAGCAAAAACTTTTCCAGCTTGCTAGGCAAACAGTAATACTTTAGCGTGGGGTGTATAAGCCCAGCCAGAAACCTTCCCTTGTACTCAAGCAGTCATCTTGCTGACGTTTCTGCTATCCTGGTGCTGGACTCTGAATTAACTAAAATAAAGATATATGGGCTACATGTGCTACAATTATGTCTCTGATCACAGCACAGACAAGGCCTTAAACCTCAGAATGACAAAGAGGTATCTGAGTGAGGAAGTCTATTTGTTTGCTGTTAGAAAGAGTCAGGGTTTTTTTCAAACCCTGGACTGCAGTGTTGATAAAACAGGCTGACTTGGGAGACATCTCTAGTGTATATTAAAGTAAAGCCAATCTCTGTAATTAATGGGGAGATAAATTGAGGTCTAATTACTCAGAAGGCACCTTGGGTGAAAGATTCATGGTAATTGTTGTGTATCCTCTTGAAGGATTCACAGTGCTGGCGGCTCCCTTTGTAGCAATAAAATACAGGGTGAGTGGCAGGCAGTCTCACAGGACCTCCCTTCTAGGGACTAGTCCAGTTAAGGCAGCAAATGCAAAGAGGCAGTGGTACTCTTCAGGCTTTTTATCACAATAAAAGCCCCTTCCCTAATCTTAAGGGATTCCTAAGCAGTGTGTCAATTTGAGATCAAAGGACTTGCAGTCAAATCAAGAGTACCTCGGAGGAGGTTTCCCTGATAGGCAGCTTCCTCCTGATGCAGCCATACAGAGTGCATATTTCTTACCATTTTTCTACTTTCTTGCTTCCTGTGGCGTAACACCCTTCTCTTGGGTTCTGTGTGGAAAATAAGATGTGTGCATGTGGGGAAATGGATGCTATAGCTTTGAATTTTGTAGCACGTTGTTGAAAAGGCTGGCTGAGCAAAGGAAAAACCCATCCCACCAAGACACGTCTGTTTTCCTTATTCTCCAGTTGATTATCTTTTGGTCTGCTGAGGCCAGGAGGAGAGGAATCTAGCTTGCCTGTTTCTTTACTGTGCCTGCTTCATTCACTTTTTAAAAATTTAATTAACAACCTCAATTCACTTAGTTTGGCTAGCACTCTAAATACAGCACAAGGGCTCTGTGCTGATGACATAGAATCAAGTACCCGTTTTCTTCCCCTACATAGAGCTGAAGAAGCAAGTGGAAAGTGCAGAACTGAAAAACCAGCGTCTGAAAGAAGTTTTCCAGACCAAGATCCAGGAGTTTCGCAAGGTGTGCTACACACTAACGGGGTACCAGATCGACATCACGACTGAGAACCAGTATCGACTCAGCTCCATTTACGCCGAGCACCAAGGGGACTGCCTGCTCTTTAAGGTAGGTCTGTGCACCCTGCACTGCACCTGCCTCTTTGGCTTCGTGGTTTTCAGCATGCCAAAATGTATTTTCTCTTTCTCAGTGGTTAGACTGGAAAATCACTGCCCCCGTGCGATGTGACAGGATGTTCCTTATGAAGGAAGTAAAGATCCTTTCTTCTTTTAAAAAATTACCTTAGAAGGTTTGGCATCTGGTCTCCTACTTATCTATCAAAGCCAGGAGTAAAGAGAAGACGCTATATATGCATAATACCTGAGGCATCCGGCCTTGCCCTTTACCTTTTTATATTATCAGTTATATATACCGCAGCAATAAAACCTTATGTAACATCCTCACTTCACTGTGAGATATATGTCCTTACTGTCTTTGCTATCCTCTAGCTTGTCTGCATGTCGTCGTCTTGTCTTTATGTAAATTGGAATTCCTTTTGAGCAGCAGCGCGGCTTGTGTGTGTGAAGTGCCATTTATGTGAACAGCACAGATGAGTAGCAGTAACAGGCTGTCTTCTGCCAGTCTGATACCTTTATTGGTCTAGCTTGGTGGTCTGAGGTTGGGTTCTGGCTTGATAGGCGCTGTTTTTCTTATGCGTTACCTTCCAGATATCACAGTTGAGTTGATATATTAGAGAGCTGAGGTGCAATGTGAGAGTCATCAAGCTGTTAAGTTATGTTTTAACGTCAGTTCAAGTGTCAACAGCCCGGGTTTACAGGTCAGTGCGAGAACGTCCTCATTCTCGGTGACAAACACAACTGGCACTTAAAATCACACCCACATCCTACTGATCACCCTGGGTGCGTCTCATTTATGAGAAGGTTGAGGGTTTTGGAGGCATTCAGCGCAGGTGGGGGGACTCAATGTGCAGGACCTGGAGAAGCTCAGTTTCTGCAGACCTGCTGCTGTGTGCCGCGTCTGGATTGCTGCAGTATTGTTTCTTTCCATAACAGAACAAACATTTTCCTGTTGTGCAACTCTAGAGCCTCAAGAAAACAAGTGAGGGCAATTATAAGACAGTACCTAGGATCCTTAGTAAAATGAAGCAAATACCGCCCAAACTGTTGTATTACTTGGCCTTACGACATTTCTGGACTGAGACAGATGACAACAAGAAAATAAAGTTCACTGTCTGGGAAGGAGGCTGAATTCTGGTCATTGGTTTTAAGGTATTGTCACTGAATCCTGAAAACAGTTGTCGTTGAGGTGGTGCAATGCTGTTAGCTCCAAGAGCTCCAGAGGCCTGTGTTCACACCTATACTCTTAAATGTTTAGTGAATGAAACTTCAGCAGACTTCTGGAGATGTCCGGGTATAGCATCCAACTGACAGTACAGCTAGCAGTTCTTTCTGCATTGTAGGAGAGATGGAGTGCTTGGAGAAATTTAAGAAGACAGGAGAAAATTGCATACTGGCCACATGAACAAGAGCTGGCTGGCTTCAGTAGTTGGTCTTCAGTAGCATCTAGTACTCCTTCATGTCGTGCCAATGGAAATAATTTACATCCAGGAGAATGTTTAGCGAGAGGAATCCCTACTTGATTATTCATTCTTCTTGCTTTCTCTTCTTTACTCAAGTCTTTATTCCCAAGCATGTCCAAAGGATGGAGGTGTCACCAGGTAGAGCAGCAGCAGTTTCAAGGTCTCGCATTTCCCAAAGCCAAGGGTGGGTTTCTTACTGATCCATGGAATTCCTCAGCCTCTCTTACCTCACACACCACTACGGAGAAGAGAAGCAGATTTCCTAGTTAGAGTCTGAACAACAAAAGACTCAGACTTTTTCTCCCTGTTCAGTGAATTCAGACAATTCCCACCGTCTGCAGCTTAGAATAGCAGTAGAATATAAACAACAAATCATGATGTTGCTGAGTCCAGGCAGTTGGCTCGCATGTGTGTACCAAGGCTTGAATCCTGACTGCGGCTTCCAGCAAGGTTGTGTGTTTATGCTGTGGAATTTCTGAGCCATAGCAGACTGTGGGTGTTTGTGCGCATTTCATTAACCCAAAGAGGTCACAAAGCAGGGAATGCTATTTGTATTTATTCCATTCAAGCAATTTATGGAACAGGGTCTATATAATTAAACCAGAGAAGTCCCCTGGCACTTCACAAGCTTCTGTAGCTTGCCTGTAAACTTCAGAGCATATTTCAGTCGCACTGCTGGTGGCATTTAATTTTCAATGAGTTTTCAATAGCGGGGATGCAATAGGAGCTGCTGTAATGTAACCCCCTTCAAAGCTAAATGGAGATGAAAGATGTGCTTGGCTTTCCCGACCAAGGTATGCTGTTACTGTAGTAGAGGTTATTATCTACGTGCTGTCTGAGTCCAGCCAATTTGCATTAATTGGAATTGCAGCTTCAGTGAAAGGGTTAATCACAGTGCCATGCTGTGAATGTAAATGACTGCATCTCTAAATGAGCACTGAATTCCAATGAAACCGTATAGGTATTTATTGGCGATCCCTATCGATGCAACAGATGAGCTCATCAACTTGAAGGATGTTCCAGTGATTTTCAGGCCCTCTGTGTGTGAGCGCGTAGGCAGCAAAGCACGTCTCAGACTTCACAGCTCGCTGTTGCTTGTTTGCTCTTTTTTATTCTTTTAATTAAATGCTGTGGAAAGCAGCGTTACAGACTCCTCGCCAGGAGTTTAGCTTCTGATGGTTTTTTTGTGGGATGTAATGTATTATAGCTACTGGGGCACTTGACACTTTCATATTCTGTTACCGTTGCTGGTACATTAGATGTGTTAGGCCATGACACAGACTTCACGTTCCTCATAATGCTTGGCTGGTGTGTCTAGGCCAGGCCACCCATGAGATTTCCTTTGTAACAACCTGTTAAATATATCTGTTAAAATAAATAAATATTGCTGGGGAGCCTCCAAATCAGCTTAGCCAACTTGGAATTAGGCGGTGGCAAACGGGGATGTCATGGCTTGGCTGTGTGTACATCATGTTGTTTACCCTTGTTTCTGGGTAGATCCTGAGTGCAAGGAAGGAAATGAGGTCTTCAGAAGGCAATGACAATTGTTTCAGACAAAGAAAGTCTTTTGGTAAACAGAAAGACTGGTCAAATTTGAAGAGGAGATGATTTGGAGACACTTGTACAAATGAACAAACAGTGCAGAGAAATTAAATCATGGGCTTTTTCTTTTTGTGTGCCTAAAGACACAGTCTCAGCCAAAGCATTTGAAGCCAATCGATTTAAAAGGAAAAGAGTGGAAATCCTTTTATTTTATAGACCCTGTGGCTTCAAGGTGCTGCTGAGAGCCAGGAGCTCAGCAGCTTTTCTAAAATGTTAAGATATCTTTGTGGACACATAATAATACCTAGTTTACATTAAATGTTTACATTTAACTGAAGTAGGGACATGCAGAGCTCTCTGCTTTGAGATGTAGAGGCAGCCTCTTACTACAGATACTAGGAAGAAAACTCCCATGCATGCTGCTTATTTTCTGGGTTTTATCTACATACGGGTTTGCTGCTGCTGTACCTGGTGACATTCAACTCCATCCTCTGGAAATACTTGGGAATGAAGACTGGGGTGAAGAAGAGAGAGCAAGGAGAGTGCTCAGAAAGAGGAACCTGTGCTTGATTATTCACTGTGCTTCAGGTAAACTGTGTCCACTGTCATGGCATGAATGTGGGGCTGGTCATGTTCTTGGCAGGATCTTGGATGGATGGAAAAGGCAATCGCTGTGATCATGAGCAACAGCTACATCAGATCTGGTGGTGTTTGAAACCTTTCTGGTTTCAGGTTCCTCTGCTTTCTGAGAAAGGAGTGCTCAGATTTGTAATTCCTGTGTAAATTATTTGAGTCTAAGTTGGTTGGTAAGGAAGTTAAAGCACACAAACACTTTCCAGTATCACAGCAGCGTTACCTGTCTGAGCTCATACTCTTGGCCAAAAGGCTGCCTCTAGACAAATATTTTTTATATCCTCAGGGCCAGTCTTGCACAGTACAGAATTCTGTCTCCTTCCGGGTCTCACCCATGTTGTTGTTTTCTGTCAAAATTATCAAATGTAAACCCGAACACCAGTGGTAGCTCATTGAAGAGCATCCCCAAGATGGTAGGCTTGATGCCTTGAAACAGAATACCCGAGATATCAGACAGCAAACAAAACCAGAAGCATCATGACGCAGCTTGAGAATGTTGCCAGCTACAGGGCTGACACTTCTTGCTGCAAAAGAAAACCTTTATTGGTGTCCTGTTGGACTGGTAATATGGTAATAAATTCAACAGCTCTTCTGCAGCCTGGTAAACTGACGGCCAGTGTGCACACACGGTCTTTGGTGCACACCTCTTTACGGAGTTACGGAAAGAGCTGGCTTGCGGAGCTGCGAGGGGAACTGTCACTCTCAAACGTCAAGGTGAGCTGAAAAGTGAGCACTTGCTGCTGATGTGGTTCGCTGTGAGTGCAGAGGCAGAACATAGCGAGGTGAAAGGGATAAAGGCTTTGTATGCAAGAAGGGTGTGGTGGAAGGATGGACATCACCTTCAATTTCCCAGTCTTCCTTTGCCTGCCCCATCGCTGGTGTACCCTGCCGTGCTATTGCCTCTGTATTGACAAGGTGTGTAAAACACGATCAGGCAGCTATGCGTGCAAGAAGTAGTAGTTTAGTTCTGTCTTTTTGTGGAGGGAGACAGGGCTGGACTGAAAGACCTTGGAGGCTACTTTACAAACACACAGTGGTGCTGACAAACTGCTGGCTGAAACGGGGAGGCAAACCTCATGTGGTTGAATGTGCAGAGAGAGTCCAGTCTGCTGAGATTCCAGCGCAGCCTTAGCGTCAGTTTGGCCAGGGCACACCAGTGAACGATGTACGTCTCAGAATAACCAGGGTGGTTAATACAGGGATTACTCTTACTCGCCCTAGTGCTCTTGTTTCATCTTGAAGCTGACAGCAGTGTTGGGAGCTCTGGTTCTGAGTCCACATGCTTGGTGTGCCTGCGGTTTCAGTTATTTCCTCCTTGAACACAGTGGAGTATCTCTGAGAAGCATGTTATAGC